GGGGGGGGGGTGGGGGGTGTACATTTTGTATCTAGGAATGTGTGTTTGTACTTAAACATTAACCCTGAAGTACTATGAAATCAAGAAGTAGTATGCTTTTACATGTCCCTGCCAAATTAGTTCTCAAGGTTGAATAGGATGTTTTAAAGTTTAACTGTGCTTATTACACGGTCAAACATTTTGTGTAGGTTGTCAAAAATATAAATAAAATGTCAGCAAGCCTTTATAGCAAGGGCCACCAACTCCGGTCCTTGAGGGCACCTATGAAGCATGTTTTAGATGTTTCCCTCCTCCCACACACCTGCTTCAAAGGATCAGCTTATCAGCAAGCTTTGCAGAAGCCTGAAAACAAACCTGATCATTTGAATTAGGTGTGTTGGAGGAGGGAAACATCTAAAATATGAAAGATCGGGGGCCCTCGAGGACTGGACATTCTTCAGTCTTGACTGATGCGAAAGTATTTTTCCAGTATTTTGCCTAGAAAAAGTCTAGGCAGGTGTTTTGGGAAAGTTCTTGTACCATGGAAAGCAAATATAAATGGGCAAATATGACAGACCAGAGAGAAGAGTGACGTCAACTACCTTGCCAAATCTGAATGATTTCAACAAACAAACCAAAAAAATCGGCAAGTACAGTAAATAAAAGGAGGCTTCAAAATTATGAAAAATTGTGCCCTCGTCTCTGTTTTCGAATGGTGTGATCATGGCCACTGAATGCCTTGAAAAACCATACCCTGCTCATCTGTTCAATGTCAATGACATCTCTCTCTCTCTCTCTGTGTGTGTGTGTGTGTGTGTGTGTGTGTGTGTGTGTGTGTGTGTGTGTGTTTATGTATATACATACATACAGATATATATGATATATAGGACGGCCCGGTGGGCCAGTGGTTAGCGCATCGACCTCACAGTGCAGAGGTACCGGGTTCAGCTCCGGCCTCCCTGTGTGGAGTTTGCATGTTCTCTTCTTTTTTTATATATAATGGCAATTTGTCAACAGCATAGCATGGTTCAGTATAATAGCAGCATTGACTTTGTGGGGGGAAAAAAAAAGAAATAAAAGTAGCTTGACACGTAACCTACTATCACACTGTTGAGTTAGTCTAACAATTCATATATTCTTCGATGAAATTACTACTCAATGTCAGGTACTTTCTTCCGCATGCCAAGTTAAAAGCAAACTCTAAAATGTGTTCACAGGTGCTTGTCTATACATGTGATTGACTGGTGCGTACTCAGCCTCTCACCATAATCTGTGATAGGCTAAAGCTCACCATCAACCTGAGGAAATGCGTTATTAATGCTTAAAACTGAGATGAACAATGACTGAATAAAGGAATTAATTCATTTTATACCTCACTGGCCTTCAATTTAACAGAGGATAATACAAAACTAAATAAATGAATAATTATCTGTCATGTCAGGCAGTTGGCACACCAAGGTGAGTTCACAAGTTAAGCTAAGATTGAGAAAAAAAAAAACAATTTTGTTAATGAAATAAAATGCTTGAAAAAAACTAATTGACACTACATTTGACATTTGCAGAACTAAAAAGCAAACTAATTGTAGCAAAAATGTTCTTTTTCATCTTTGTCAAGTCATTTGATATATATATATAAGCCTTTGGGGTTGGTTTTAAATGTATTTATTTCGGTATTACAGCACAGCAGTTAGCCGGAAAAAGAAAAGTTGAACAGTCGTCTGGGAGTTGGTGTTCTTTTACTGCATATCGCCTAGAAACAACGTCGTAAAGGCAGTGAATAAAAAAGTGCCACAAGATGACGTCGCTTCTCGGCATGCTGCTTTTGTCGAAATGTTGTTGTTTTTTTTTTAAAGGTTCATATATTGTATGAAAAAAAAAAACTGCACATCTGATGATCTCTCACGGCACACTGATTGGATCAGAGACGAACAACTACATATCTTAATAGAGCCCACGTATTTCGGTTTAATTCAATCACATAATAGACAGTAGTACGATACAGAGCAATTTTGAAACTTTTCCTTTGAATATAATTTTGTCTGCGTCACGTGTCTTGCTAAACAAATGAATAACAGAAGTGATCCTTTTTATTGGATTGATGGAAATGATATTGAACTGATTTGCAATCTAAATGCCATTTTTTTTTTTTTTTTGGTCTAAACAAGTATCCAATCATTAAGAGTCTGTTCAGCGGCTCAGCTTTTCGGTCTTGCAAGTCACCTCAGTCATTCTTTTGACGGTGCTGCACCACCTGCACACTGCTGTGCCGAAATAAGATGCTGCCGCTGCTGCTGCTGCTATTTGCTCAGTATGATGTTCTGCTTTAAGAGAGGTGCAAACAGTCCCCAGTGTAATAAAGTTCATTATCACATTGCAGGCTGGCACTGCCTGTCATGCTGTCCGGGGATGTAGATGTGAAAAAAGGCTATTTCTGCTGTTGCGAAAAGTCAATTCTGCAACAAAACTATAACATGCGGCATATTACTGGCACATACAGTATGCAACCAACCTAAAAACAAAACAGCAAAGATGTGTCGCACTTTTACCTCACGCGTCTCCAGAGGGTTAACAAATTGTCTTTATCTTTTGTATACACACCTGCTTCAACCCCGCAGGGCTAATGTCACCTTCATCTCTTACATGCTTGTTTGCTTTTCACCACCTGTTAATGTCACACTGACAGGTGTCTTTTGTGTATGTTTCGCTTTCTCACCAAGAGCCACATTTCATCAAGACAGAAATCAAGCAATGTGTGTCACTCTACAATAAACATGAATGCCCAAACAGTGTACGAGAGAGAGAGAGAGAGAGAGAGAGAGAGAGAGAGAGAGAGAGAGAGAGAGAGAGAGAGAGAGATACAATAAATATGTTAAGAGTGTGAATCTCTTATATGAATCATAAAAGATGATACATATCTCAGTATGGTTCGATTTCTAAGTGAAATGATTCCATTTAGTTCAATATGGTGGCATTTCCTTCAAAGATGCATCTCTCCAAAATACCATTCGAAAGGTATCTCAGTAGATTTGTAAAAATTATTTGTAAATTATCTATAGATATCGCGTATCAAGTGTAAAAGTTATTGTCAGAACAAATTAAAACTTTCCAATGGACACGCTTGAAGAAACGTTTGGCGTCCTTTTCTTCCACTGCGCCTTTTGCTGTGTGTAACAATAATTTATTCAGGGAGCCTGAAAATCTCGCGGTGTTACCATCCAGACATCTTGCATCCTATTTAGTCTGGTTCCACAGAATTTATTGTTTGACTATCGACGAAATAGTTGTATCCAGTCATCCAGTGCAGATTTTCGACGAGAGGCGGCGGCTGGAGGGAGCCTCGCGTGCCAAGCCTGCGGTGTGTCGACTCTCTCTCTCCCAGTGCAAGCCCTGGGCTCTCTTGACGTATTGTGCGTCATCTCCACCGCTGCCGTTTTGTTATTTTTCTCCGTTGAGGAAACATGGCAACTCCCGCCGCGGTTAATCCGTCCGGTGAGTTTTCACATCTGCGGCAAACCGAACGTGTTCAGTCTGTAGTTTCGAGACGAGGGTTCAAAGGATATACGTTTTGCTGAGCCTAGGAAGCAAGAAGAGGGCTAAACCCGCCACCAGGCCGCCACAGCCTAGCTCCAGCATCCATCCCCTTCCCCCATATTGTGCGGTCGTTCACAGTAGTGCCATTCTGTACAGCTTTGCTAACTTCTATGCCTTTGTCAGAATGAGTTGGCCGAGGTACACGCAATGCTTCCATATTCATGTATTCTATCCTTTATGTTTATGATCGCTTCCATTATTTTCGCCGACGCTTTGCTTTCCTCACTCTCAGTGACACAAAGATTACTTTGCATATTTATTGTCCGACTGCACTGCACTTGTTAGCGTCCGTTGGATCTTGCGTATCATCTGCGATATACAGAGATGTCAACGAGTAGCCTACTGGTTCCGCCGTCTTTCTAGCATCGTGCTTGTTGATTCCAAAATACGTCGTGAGAGAGAATGATTCAATAGCTCTTACTGCCCACACAGCAATAGGTGTATAAAATCGTTTGGGGGGAATTAATTACAATATTATGTTGGCTTCGTTTAAACTAAAGACGCGCACGGTAGCACGATTCACACTCCATCATATTTTCAAATTGGCGAAGAGTCACCGTGTCACAGTTAACTTCATAATAATTAGTAAACTTAATTCTGCTTTGTTTGTCTTGCTCCTTTTCTGTTTAAATCACAGGCGATGTTCAGGTGTTATAACGGCTATAAACACTGCAGCGAACACGAGTTCCATTCCATTTATCCAATAACCGAACAAAGATTACATAGTTATTATTATCATCTCAATTTGGAATTCTCTTATTTAATTAAGATGACACGGAGGATTCGTTTAGTCATTCTGCAACAGCCAACACTTTTTAAAGTACCACAAACTATAACACTGGTCAACAATTTTGTTTTGCGCAGATCCCAAATCTGTCTTTATTTTTTTTCTCTTGTTTATCAGGTATTCATATGAATAATAATAATAATAATAATAATAATAATAATATGTAAACGTTTTCACTATGACCTGTTGCCGTGGTTACAAGTCACAGAACAACAATACTGTACAACAAAAAGTATAGTCATACGTTTAGTAGTTATTATTTAAGAGTAAGGTTCAGCAACAGTTGGATTTTTTTTCTGAAAGGCCACAGCAATAAATTACAAAGTCCCTCAAAGGACCTAACGAATCTGTACGTCATAATGGTAGTTCGTTGTAACCATTTCCGATAAAATGGCCGCCAACTACAATGTACAGTATAATACAGTATGAATATTTTAGATGTAAAAACATAAAAATGTAATATTGTATAAACTCGTCACTTACAAATAGGTTTATACAGTATGAAAAAAAAAAAAGATTTTGATACACATGAAACAAACAACTGCAGCGTTCCGACTTCATCTCTGAAAACATTCAGTCAGCAAATGAAAAGTGCCTTCTCCAGTTCAGGATGTGTCGCGTCCCGAAGCCGTTTACGATCATCTTTTAATCTGTTGTCTTTGATCTCTGGCATGATTTTAACGTTATAATGGTGTAAGCAAAATTGGCAAATGAAAAATTAATTATGTGAAATCCCGACTTTGAAAAGTGAACGATATAGGGGTGAAAACGTAAACGGGGTAACTTGTTCGACTGTACTTTGCTTATGTTTTGTGTAAACTGTATACCATTGTATTACAAATGTATTACATATACAATTGAAGGTTGCATCAAGTGTAACAGTTTGAGCAGAGGAATTTATTTTGCTTCAAATGCCTAATAATGGCCTTTCAAATATTTTTTGCTTGGGTCAATCTGAATATCCTGGGATTTGCTGCTTGAAGTTGCATTTGAGAGGAATTATATTCTCGAGTCACACTATCACCCTGAGCTGCTGGACACCCACATGAAAACAGGTCAACCATATTCTCTCACATTCTTTGCCACTTCACTGTTCTGTATATGTAAATGGAAAGGGAATCTAAAATTAACAAGGGTGCTTATTTGCACACAAGCTGCATAGTACTAACAATTGAAATGCAGTGTTGGTTGGAGTGAACAATGAACAGATAAGAAGACCACTGTCAAATGATAAAAGAGTAAAGTAAAAAGGGACCACCTCCTTGATTGAGAAACGGGCAGGCTGCTCATTTCAGATTCAATTTATACATTGATATGCCTTTGTGCTTTTTGTGTTGTATTGTAATAGAATTTCCAATGCAGATGCAGTGAAACCTACGTGGGGCTTCTCTATCAAGTGATGACTTTTAGTTCGAACTAAGCAATGCTTAATGGTGCCGCTGTTGCTGCTGTAGTCAGAGAAGGGCAAAGTTAGTCTGCTGATCCAAGATCAGATGGGCTTTTCCCCCTTGCATTGCACTACAGCGCGGTGCAGTGATCTCAGACCGGGAATGCATTGTCACTGGAGGATTAGCTCCAGCTGGAGGTTACCCAGATCCAATTGCTGTAAGAGCATGTGAGACGTGACATGTGAAATCATCTAATCAGGGTTGCATGCTACTCTGTAACAAAGATGATTTTAGTGCTGTCAAGCAATGGTCCCCAACCACTGGGCTGTCATTTAATTTTGAAAATCAGGTGCATTCGCCTGTGCATCTGTACATGTGTCAAACTGTTAGTCAAGGTCTTGTGATACATCAATAAAAAAGTAAGTCCATGATCTAGCAAAAATTAAGAAACACACTGTATATAATGTACATTTTCAGGGCTCTACACTAACTTTTGCACCAATAGTACTGGTACGACCCACTTTTTCGGACGGTGGCACTTGCACAGACTTGGTCGCACCCTTGTTTGGGGCAGTGACCATATTTGCTGATGCATAGTCGTCTCGATTGACATACCGTAGTTTCATATGATGTAAAGATTGACAGTGACTGAAGATATATTTTACAGTAACAAGACCTTTCGTAACAAGACAACAAGATGTTTCCTTGACACATTGGTGTCGATTTTTAATGCAGTACTGCCTGAGGGATCAAAAGTCATGGGCATTTAATGGTGTTTTTTGGCCTTGCCGCTTACATGCAGTGATTTCTCCAGATTCTCAAAACCAGAGGTGTCAAACAATTTTTTGTCATGAGCCACATTTTAGTGACCGTTTCCCTTGGAGGGCAGTTATGACTGAAAACATATCAAGAAGTCAAGAATAATGGTTTATTCAACGATTGTTTAAGTTCGTGTAATGAGGGGTCTGGTAACAAGAAAATGCTTATTATATCTCGCCTATTTATTACATATGAGAAGTTGAAATTGTGGTACAGATTTGACAATCATTGTAGAAGTTGACATGTTTGATTTCCTTTCGCGGGCCACATAAAATGATGTGGCGGGCCAGATCTGGCCCCTGGGCCTTGAGTTTGACATTGGGGCTCTAAACCTTTTGATGACATGATGGAACGAATTCCTTGCAATTGTACGTTGAGGAACCTTGTCCTTAATCTGTTCAACTATTTTCTCACACAGTTGTTCACAAAAGGTGAACCTTGCCCCATCGTTGCTTGTGAATGACTGAGCAATTCAAGGAAGCTCTTTTTTTTATTAAATCATGGCACCCACTTGTTCCCAATTAGCCTGTTCACCTATGGCATGTTCCAAACAGGTGTTTGATGAACATTTCTTAACGTTCTCAATCTTTTTTGCAAACTGTCCCAGCTTTTTTTGGAACGCGTTGCAGCCATAAAATTATAACTTAACCATTATTTGCTAAAAAACAATGAAGTTGATAAGTCTATTTTATTTGTTTAACACAACGCCCCGACTTCATTGAATCATGGTTTTCTCTCTCTCTCTCTCTCTCTCTCTCTCTATATATATA